ATGCTGAGACCTCCCTACTTTCGTGTTCGCATTTTTTCAGTCTCTCCTACCTGATGCATGATAATCTTTCCATGGTCTCCTCCTAGTGATTTGCGGCTCCCTTCGCACTGGATTACTTTGATCATTCTTACGGTACTTTGAGTGATCTATTACATCGAGCGAGAGACCCACTGATCGGCATGATTGCCAGAGATCCGGATGCGTATCTGGGTAGACGCTTCACTGACCGTGATCAGTTGGACATTTTCCGTATACAGTACTGCCGTAGAGTGACGAACGTCTGACAGTTTATCAAGAGTACTAATCCTTGAAACAATCTAAATGGCTTAGTCACATGTCATCGTCATACTAGGTAGCCCAAAGTGCATGTTGGTCACATCGTTATCGGCTGTGTGGCGCGGGTCAATCACTAGTTATTGTCAGCTTTGCAATATTTTTGTGGGTTGGAATCAAATACTGGTCTGTTGTTCCCCGTAGTAACGATATTTTCCTTAGCTTAGTTCTCGGTCTGAGCCTCTCAAGCTAACGTGTACGTCAAAACAACCTTCAAATGTGCACAACGTATATTAACGCCTAAACGAAGTCAAGAACACTTGTATAGCACTTCATAAATATAGCGTAAGCGGCAACAACTTTCTGGAACTTCTAATGCGTTCTGGATGCGGCATTAGCAACCGGCATTCGGCCAATACTGGGTCACGACTGGCTGCTGCGTTCAGACTTTCGACCAATCAGATCTCCGCTTGATGCCGACTATCAAGCGTCCCGAATTTTGGCTTCTCAGCCGTAACAGCACCTGAGTGCGAGTGGTTAAATGGGCCCGTGTGTAATCCCGCCTGACACTCCCCCCACTTGAACTAAATTCGAACACCTCGAATACATTTGGAACCGCACAGATCCTGAATCATGCCGTAAATCTCTCTATCGGTATCTCCCAGCTGGCCCTCTTATCAAAAGTAATTCATGCTAGGACACGGTTTACACAACCTTACCAGATGCTTTGCGTACGTGTTTCGAAAACGTCCCATCAGCTTTATCAACGCTCGGTCTTCAGCATGCCTCGGAGACCTACTTTGGCTTATGGAAAACACAAATACACGTCAGCGTCAAACTAACACGGTTGCCCATGCTGCATGTAGCAATATTTTGCTTGTCTCCATGAAAATCCATTCCCTGAACATCTGACCGAACCCAGTCTTACTGATCGAAACCCCAAACCATTCAGAAATAATTCGTGAATAATGCCGAGAGAAATTGAATCAATATTATCACTTTATTACATTTTTAAATACTTCGTATAGGAAGGAAGCAGACCTGATTTCGATCACGACAGTTATTAGTTTTGGAAAGAGATACGAGATAACCAGGAACATTCTAATATCATAGTTACGATCAATAAGAACTGCATATTTAACCTGCAGATGACTTCGTTCCTTCGGTTCCCCATTCGTATCACCGGTTTTCTGCTACTTTGGTCTCGAAATAAGGGTTGAATGATAGTGGGCCGTCCTCCACAATGATCCTACGGACAGGAAGGGAGTTACCCTGGTAACGCACACCAAGATGAATTGTTAATAGACTAGATAACGTTGGCTCACTTGCGCTGAATGACACGATACAACAAGGCGAACAGTCAATCCTCTGGATTATACGCATCAGCTTACACTATACGATGATTTTGAAACCTTGTCAGTTACTCGTCGATCAAATCTCCCTCATAAACGTTCATTGTATTACCGCAGTTCCATTCTACGTAGGGTAGGTTCTTCACAATAACCAGACAGTCTGTGCCGCGATTTGGAACGTTTCGGCCGATAAGCTTATCGGTGAAAACAAACAAGTTGAAAACGTGCCTTGTGCTGCCATCATACACCCACCGTCCTTTGGTTTCCTGTGGTTCTATCTAATAATCCACAAAAACGAATAAGGAGAAAAAAGTGAGGAATAAGTTCGTTTCAAAAACGATTGATAACTTGATCTTTCGAAGTGATACTATCCCACACAATCTTCTCTATTCGTTATTCAGATGAGAAATCGACAAATGATTATTTAGCTGTCAGATGGATCAGGCAAACAATTGGTGAACAATCTAGCGGCTTGCACTGCACTACTCATAAGGTTGCTGAAAATTCGTCAACAGCCCATGACCGGTTTCGCCCTTCTTGGGGCTCCTCAGGTAGGCGCAGCCCCCGAGTTTCCGTCTAGTCGCGCACTCAGTGGCGCTCGTGCATCCAGGCTGTTGTCTTCAATGCATAGCTGCCCTCCGAATCATCCCACTTGACAGCCCACTGACAGTCCCGGATTTATGCACCAATACGCAGGCAACTCATCGGGGAACGAAACTGCGGCAGCTACAACCACTGTACGACGAGTACTCGGTTATTACAGCTGACGATGATGATTAGGGTCTACTTAAAACCAAATTGCACGAAATTAGCGAAATACACTCACTTGCAAACTAATTTGGTTTTACGAGAGACTCGCCTGAATCTCTCGTTTTTGGTGTTTGTGTCTGCAATATATGAGACCTCGATTCCCCATCGGAACCTATGAAGTCCCCCTGAGGAGGAATTCTTCCCTTTGCCGATGACTGAGTATTGCAAAAAAAGCCGCCAAAATTGTATTTGAATTGTCCTTTTAAATGAATGGGTGAATGCTTTCCAGAGCTATCGATTTTTCATTATTGGCCTTTGTTTAATGTGTTGGCCAACTTATCTTGTTCGAGTACAAGTATTTTTAAACGTCAGTTACTATTAGTGTCAAACCCGCTCTACATTTAACGTTCTCACGGAACTTTTGGCCGCGTCTAGTATTCAGGCTAAGGGACTGTACCTCTTCATTACATGGAACCCTCTACCAGTTATCTCGTCGCGTTTCGATTCAAGCAGTCATTCTCCTGGGTGGTGTTGCAAATATGACCATGTATCAACAGTAAAAATACAGCGAAAATAGATTCCTGAGTTTTCACTGGGCGCGGTCACTCCGGCATCTCAATTTAACAGGCGTTGTGCCTGGTTTACTCACTGTGCATACAGTATGCCCTGAATACGATACAGTCAATGAATGAATTTCCATTGGAAATCGTAGACGCTACAAAAAACCAGCTATTGCAATAAACATACAATTATAACTTGAAGGAAGGCTGACCTAATTAAAATAAATAAACAAATAAAATAATGGTAATCGCTCAGCTGTAACACTTTTCGGTACCTAGATGCCATGCCACGCGAAGGTAGCACGAGGACTGGGATACTGTCAGGTTGCCCCAATCTAAACAGGAGAAGTCCAGATGCAGAAGTCGGGTTCCAAAACCACGGACTTTTTGTTCAGCACATTCGCGCTCTAATTACTGAGCCATCTCTCCGCAATGAGGAACTACTTATCTGATGAACCCCATAAAGGAAGAAACTGGTCGTTGGCTTTTGGAGAGTTTTCAGCAAACTTGTGAGTGCTGTGTTAGAATGAATCGGCTTCACACATGTGGGGGCCGCAGGCTAGGTCCGGACATATTGGGGTCCAGTTTCGATTCCAGCCAAGGACATTATACTCTAGGTTGGGACCGATCCCCCCTCGACAGTGCCGGCCCACAAGACGTCACCGGATGATTCATCAGTGAGAGTGATACTTCTAAGCTTGGGATTGATATCGGCATATCTCTGCCTGCATGTTTCCAGGCCACTTCTGTCGTTTGCATTGCGACAATGTGAAACATTACCGCATCACTTGTTCTCTGAATTCCTAAACCTTTCCCATAATCGTCGTAGCCTTCGCATTACAGATTTTTACACTCAGAGTTTGCACTCACACGGTGAAGAACAGCGCATCACTGTGTCGTGAGTTTGTTGAGAGCTTTGCCGGATCGGTGCATTTTGAGCCATAGGTGTGCTCATCCATCCAGATCATGATGAAGTTGGAAGCACTTGTTCTGCATATCTCAGGATTATCTGCTTCACTGTAGGGACAGTTATTCCACGAGCGAGTATTCTCCACACTTCACATTACAGAGGCTGACTACTGCAACCAAATTACTCGTTTTCACAGATGTCCTTGCTCGAGCAGATTAGGATCCCATTTTGAATTCAGCAAACGAATATGATATGAGAACGAAGAAGGTAGCGAACAAAGCTTGTTTTCTGTGATTGTTCATCTTGGCTAATACATCACAAATTTATATGGTAGCAGAAATCACGTGGAAAAGGTTAAGATCGGGGCTACACTTTATAGAAATAGAAGTCAAAGGAAGGGGGTTGGGTGAGGGGTAGGTCAATGGGTCATGACGTCAATGTCAGACAGACTTGTGGGACCAGATGTTTCGTAGGCCAGTTCACTTCTTCATAGGGCCTTCATTGGTTGCAAAAAGATGTCTTGTTGCACTAATACAAAAGTCATTATTTTCTTCAGCTAGCGTGTTCGGTTGGGTGATAGGCCGCAAGTAATCATCATCATCGTCATCAACAGCATGATGTCAGTGTTCAACACCGATGCTTCGGTGCCGTAAGTATCGCTCTGAGAAAGCCGTTGTGCTCTTCACGTTACACAACTTAGTCAATCACCTTCATGGTTAACACAACGACTGCATATGGCCGGGATAATTGGATCCTAAAAACCGATCTATATAAATAACAGGCAACCTATACCGACGGACCGAGGGACAGTTTCATCCTCAGTCAGATGTGCTGACTGTACAGGTCTCTAGAATTGCTGAATGATTAGAATGTCCAAACTTTCTGAATAGATTTACTGATCATTGCTCAGCCGTTTAATTATATTATACATATCTCGAGCTTCGGTCCTTTACTTCCTTCCCGCAACTGAATTGTTTATCTTAACACTGACATCACCTCTACCCTGACGATTAACCGATCCAAGTCAAAATACAGCATTTATTTTGAGACATACCACCGAAGGGACTTTCCTGCGAAAGCGGTCGGGTTTTGGGAGTCGTTTCAGTGTCCTGGTCGTCGAGATGGCCGAAGTGGTTAGAGCGCGGATTTACTAACCTGAAGGTCCGTGGTTCGAATCCGACCTCCGCCACTCGACTTCCCCTGTCTAGGCTTGGGCAACCTGGCAGTATCCCAGCCCTCGTGCTCCCTTAGGGTGGCATGGCAGCTAGGCACCGGGAGGGTGCTACAGCTGAACGCTTTGTCTTTTATCTTTATCTTTATCCTGGTCGTCGATCAACACTGTTTTGAACTCGATGAAAATGACCATTAAAAAGATTCTCGTCAGGGATACTGATGCCTGATCTTGGTAAAGTAAAGTGGTTACTTTTACATGTAAATACAAGTTAACCAATAAATGGTATAAAATTCTTCGGAGTACGAAACTCCCTTTACCTCTGCCGATTGTCAGTTCCAAGTGTTCGGCCTCAGTCCTATGACTGGTGTATCGTGTGGTTCTTAATTTTGTGTGTCATCACTTATTATTGTCTCAGCTGCGTGGTTTGTAACCGATTGTTTAAAAAAATTGGATATTCATTCTCTTCCAGTTGCTTGAACAATCTGAAAAGTCGAGAACTTCCGGGCTCAACCTCTCGCCCGACTGTCTCACCAGAAGGCGGTATCACAAACAAAGGGCGTTCGAGCTTACATATGAGCGCCACGGCATCCGCACTCCCAATGGCTCTGCGGCTGATACAGTCCGAGGACTGGGAGTCCAAAGTTTCCGGTCTTGAACGTGTCGCTCAGCTTGCTGTCGAAAATCCTAACGCGTTCAACAGTAATCTTGGTGCACCTGTGGGCGGCGTGTCGGTATCTGCAGGATCGTCACGGCAACCTCTGAATTCCACGGAGACCCTTAACCAAACTGTCCAGGCTGTGATTGCCGAGTGCAGGAACCTCCGGTCACAGGTACAGGAACTCAACCGCTTGAGGCGTTTTCTGTTGTGGGTACATCACACACCACCACTGTTCCGTATGCTCTCAGATTCCTTTAAGCTTTTTGCTCTGTGACCTCTTTCTATAGGTGACAGGAGCTTTTTCCACATTTTGTCATTTTATATTAAGTAAATACTCACAACTCAAGCCATCTCAGAGCAGATTCATATGCCTCAATTCTCTCAGGGCAGATCCAGCAACCCCTAGGCTCTCATTCAGTACCTGAAGTCAAGGCAGAACCACTCTTCACATGTACTGGCCTCTCAAGAATCCGTTTTGCTCTGTTTGATCATACTGCCGCATCTCCCTGGACCGCTACTTGTTGCCAATGCCTCTTGCCCTAAATTTTCTAATCGATGTTTGTTTTGCATTCAGGTCTCGCGACAAGCCGTGCATACTCTGAGCAACTTATTCCACGGGCTTGGACGGGCCATGGATCCACATGCGGAGATTTGTGTTCGCGTTCTTTTGGGGAAAACGGGCGAGGCCGCAGCCGCATTCTTGCGTGACGAAGTAGCCGTTGCCATGAACGAGGTCACTCAAGCTGCAAATCCGTCCAGAACACTTCCAGCGCTTATGCAGCATGGTTTAGGGTAGGTCTCCTATCACAGGGAAATTCATGTGGAGAATGGTTGCTCGCCCTCCAGTCACTACACCCACACATGTTTCTGACCGTCTGAAGAACAGCTTTGTCCCACTTATGATACTCTCACCCCGTAATTAGACCATCTAAACTGACCAGCATACTTTCCGCCCGTCATTGCATACTGTAGGTAGCAGAAGGAATGTGGATGTTTACGTGTGTCTGATTCTGTATTCACTTTAAGGGGCCTAATCGAGGCAAACCGTCACTTTTAGATGGAAAAACGCAACTCTGATTTACCTGGTGATCACTACGGCCTTTTTTTTACTGAGGTACAGGCTTCCTGCTGGTGCTAGCTCTCTTATTAAATCGTATCGTCTCAAACTTCAAGTATCCTTGTAAAGCTTATCCACATGAGGCCTTTCATTCTTATGTGGACTCATAAGTTGCGCTGGCAGTGTTTGGTCGAAATCCTTGAGTAGGCCGTCAGCCTCTCTGAATATAAATCGTCCCCGGAAAATCGCGCTCTATACTGACCAGTGTGTTTACTGTGGACAGACTCAATTACAAGGGTACAGAATACTTCCCACTCGTGTACCGGAACCGTTTTACCCGACGTCCACAGGACAGAATCGCGTTGAAAGTAATCTGTTTTGTAGTGCATACCACGCAATGGTATTTTCTTGTGTAACCAAAGAACATGCTTGTCCAGAGTTTTCATCAATCTCATTGATAGATAGCACTTAATCTTATCTATTTTTTATTTGCGAGTAGTGTCATTCATATATTTCCTTTGATTCAGTCATAAAAATCCGGCAGTCCGTCTGCAAACTGCGCTTCAAATCGCGGGGATTGTAGAAAATCTCCCGAATCCGAAGAGTACCAGTGCGAGTCGTAGATCCGGATCAACTACACGCATTTCCACCTGGGACTCGGCAACAAATCTGAATGTGTCTGGGTCATCTGGTGTACTGGGCAGTCTTCTGGATCGGTTGATAACTGCAATGAGTCAATTTCTTACGGACGGAAATCAAGAGACTCGGTATGCTTTTCTGTGCGATGCATGCAGACCGATACTCAGCACTTCCACCTAGTAAACTGTAATTGTTGTGGTGTTTTGTATAGACACGATAACAAGTATTGCCGTCATCTCACTCAGCAGTTTAAATGCACGTTTGTGTCAACAATTACGTGGTTCTTACAGCTGATGATGATGATGATGATGACACTACTGCCAAACTTTGTTAAGTTCGTCTAAGTAATCCCATATATCGGTCCTTTCGTTAGTGAGCAGTTTTTTGTTGTTCAATAAATCGCTGGTCATTACCATTTCACGTTGACCAATAGCGATTGTTTATGGCAGACAGACACCTTCCTTTTATGTGTAAGTCACCCAATATTGATCCCTCTACCCTCGCTGTCATTTCGAAAGACATTCGAATGTGTATACATGATTCCTCTACAAAACCGGCACTCTTTGGACTGCTTCACTCCCATCCTGTGAAGAATTCCTTCTCGAACTCTGAACTCTCTGAATGTCATCAACCCTTTTTGAATTATTGCTACGCAGACCCAATTTGTTGTGGCGAGCAGAGCGTCGAGGTTGATCAGTATCAGTTTTTCTAGCGGTGGCTCACTCCATTTCACTGTTACTTTCATCAAGCCACTTTTGTTTGTTTGGACACTTGCGACGCTTTGGAAACTATTTTTACAGCTGTGAACAGCCCATGTTTATATGCACAGATTTTCAGCGTTTCGTGGGTTTTGTCTGTTAATCCGATGATTGATCCATACAGTATTCTTTATCTCTGGACAATTCTTGTTGAAGGTTTTTTTACACCACTATAATTTTCCTTCTTCGTGGGGTTCGTGTTAGTATCGATCTTGTATTATTAGGATGAGTAGCTTAACATCTGCCATTCAATTCGGAATTTTTCAGTATGATACAATTGTGGATCCATTTTCCCGTGGGTGACGACGAAACACCAGGTGACAGCCTTCATACTCTTTAAAATTTCAAATGACTTTTACTGCCTTCTGTCTTTTAAGGAATATCGACATCCGCTGTTCATACAGTCATGGTTTAAGGTTCTTTGCACTCCTTCACTTTTTCGTTCCTAGTTATTATGGGAGGCGATTGCTCAGATGCCTTCAACAACATCCGGACTTCGAACGTACGGTGAAGAAGCAGTTGAATGGACAGCCCTTGCGGGCCGTTCGTGAGGCACTCGATCAGATTCAAACCAAGGTGAGTGGATGTGCTGTAAGGGTCTTCATGTCACACCACTATCCAGATGTGGACTTTCTGACTCATTCGTCCAGTAAAGCTGATGCATTTCGTGCCTATTTGTGGTGTTCAATTGAATGCGCTTTCTGTATTCCTCTTGTACCTGCTAGGAATCTTTAGTGGGCCGATACTTTGGTTTATTCTCACATGTCATCTTAATAACGGTTACGTGTTGCGTGCAACATGTTCTGCCTCCACGACATTGTAGGAAGCCCGGCGATTACCCTGCTGGTCTTCCTTATCAGTTGCGAAATTTGAAGGCTCTTGTTTTACTGGAGTTCTTTACACATCGCTACTGGTTCGGCAAAGATGGAGGATCGGTGGTTTGAACTGGGGACTAAAAGGGTTTATTTCTAAAGATAGTTTATTCGCTAACCGTACTCGTACAGAGCTGTTTTCAGCTGATCTGATTTTGTACTGATGACAACAAGAATCCGGATCAGCCGTTACTTACTATTCATCGAATGGACACCCAGACATGTGGCTATTCACTGTTCCTAACTTTATATCGGGCGCGAGATGGCTTGGTGGTTAGAGCGTGAATTTTCTGACCGCAAAGTCCGTGGTTCTGTCTCTCGACCTCTCCTGCCTAGAATTGGGCAGCCTTGCAGTATACCAGCCCTCGTGCTTGTTTCTGTTGTCGTGGCTGCTAGGCACTGAAAGGGTGCTCCGGCTGAACGAACGAACTGTATACCTACTTTAAAGTGCAAAATTCAACTTCGTTGAAATGATAGTATGGTCTTGGTTGATAGTCCATTGACTTTTGGAGCTGAGTTTGGCAACTGGCCTCCACACCCTGGCGCTGACATGTGCGATATTGCCAACGCATCGTTCGCAATCTGTTTGTCGAGCGCGGTCAGCAGAACACCAGCCAGCTGATAAAAAACAGCACTGCACCAACAACTTCGGTGATTACAAGTTCAGAACGACTCATCGGTGGGATTCTTTCGCCTACTGAGGAACCTCCATGAGACAACAGCTAAATGGTATTAGGGTCCGCTTTCGGAGCATCCACATCGTTACTTTGGTGGCAATTCCCGTGAATTATATTACTTGTGCTGGCATAAGTGAATTTCCTCAAATAATGTTTACCATACAACGAACCGGACACCATGTCGCTCATACCGTATTCATTCACTTTTGTCTTGGTTGTTCGTTGCAGTCATGGACTGAAACTTCTAGGGCGTTATCGCATTTATCGCTTTTTCGGCTTGTCGGATAACATGTTTTTGGTATGTGAAACCGTGCCACAAATGTGCTCTCTCCGACCGAAAGACGCTGACCTCTTTGTTGAACGGCTACTATTGGCGAAGGTGTGCTTGCTGGAAGCCATGGGAGCCATGACCCTGGGGTTCATACAACTGGTCATGAATACCTTGTCGACCTAGAATATCCAGAACACGTCGTTCTTGTCTGCAAAGAGGAGAACACGCAGCTTTGGAGTATTTTACATATATTGGAAGTTGAGTTAGTGTTAATTGTAGTGAGGCAGCTCGGGCCAATACATGGATCTCCTGGGCTTGGGTCGCGTTTGCTAATTTGAGAAACCGGTTACTCAGGATGATTGGAAGTCAATATATCACCATTCTCTGACAATTGGACTTGCTTCATGAATGTCCGTGTTCAGTGAAAAGCTCGTAAAATTTCCAAAGCATTTTAGATTGCTGGCTTCAAAAAAAACCCTTGACTGCGGGCTCGTAAGGATGGTCCATTCATCTCCTACTGGTTTTTCTGATTAGGATTTTTCCTTTATAAAGAAACAAAAACTTCGGTTATCTTACATTCCTTCAGTTTTCTGTCCTCCGTTTTCTTGGTGGTGGTAGTGATGTTCGAGATGCTAGAAGACAAATGAATCTCCTTCATGGAGTTGCTCCCTGAATAGGTCCTTATTCTATTTTCTGGCCACGAAACATCTGTTTCCTCTCACTAATAACTGCAGGTGTCGTCCAAGGAGACTTAGCTAGTCACCAGTGACATAATTCTTGTTGACCACATAAGTAAGGCATGTCGTCACGTGATAACTAATGGACTCTCCGTCACGACTTTCTGTTTACATAATTCTCTTCTCAGGGTGTTGGAGATCCACCGGTCATCTCTGCGGGATCGCGGCGCAAAGGAATGTCTCCTGCCCCCAGTCCATCGATCACACGAGGATCAAGTGCAAACAATCCCTCGAAACCATGATTCATCGTTGATTTTGTTGAACTTTACCACATCTTGATGAAACACAAGTGCCTCTTTTAAAGCGATATGCCTCTAATTGCTGGTCTCTGTACAACCATATCTGTTTTCCGACATCCCTACACATGGACAAACGCTACAGATAGCGGTGTGAGGATAGGGGTGCTGTCCTGGACATATAGATGAAGTATCGTATTTTTTGTTCTCATCGGTTTCCCCCCTCATAATATAAGGTTCAGCAGATTGCACAGAACATCCCGAACAATTACTAATGCTTCCATACCCACCCACCCAAAGAGTTTTTTTCCATTCCACGAGAGCTTTGAAACCTAGATTCCTTATTAGAGTGGTATTTTTCCCGAACAACTCTATTCAGCGCCCGCTCACTCGATTCCCGCGGCTGCTGCTGGTGTTTTTTGGAGATTTTTGTTTTGCTGCCACGCATATTTCCCTCCCATCTTAAACACATGCACCTCGTTGACCTTTTGTTCCCAAAAGAGTGGTTAAAGCACACTGTAATGCCCAGCTAATCCACTATTTGAACTTTTCTCCTTGAGCACCCCCTCGTGTAATTTCCGCGGTCATGTTGCTAATCGGCTTCCTGTCACTTCATGACATATCAGTTCTTTCTTCCTGCATATACCCTCGCGAGATATTCAAAATTCATTAACTCAAATTTGAGCTAGTTATTTCACCCGCCAGTCTCTTTCTGATTGGCTTACGTTCACATGCATACCAGTCGATATCTTCCTTCCAGAACGAAGAAAATGGTATTGTTCAAGCCTTCTTTCATGTGCCCTAACCGTTAACATTCCACTCTGGCGCACACTTTTTGGATGCAAGATTGGCCCAGTTTCTGTGTTTCATTCGTGGATTGTCATGCTGGGTTTTCATCGCGTATCATACAGATATTCATGAGACAAGTGCCTGCGTTAACCATCCATATAGTGCCGGCTTGAGTGGTTTTGTGTTCAATTTGGTCTTAACTACTAATTTTTCCATAAGTAGTCCATTTTCTTGCGCAATATACACTGGTTTGGGTAAGTAGGATGCTGCCGAAAGTGGGATTTGACAACAAAGTGGAGACCCGATCTTCTGTCATTTTTCCTGTGGCCCATTGCACCGTGGACGTTTTTTCATTGTGCCGAAACTTCCCAGTCACAGAGCGCGTATATGTTCGGAAACTCTGACATGGACCAATATGGTAGTACTCAGAGATTTGCTACTTTGAGTACTTGAAGGTTGTGCCAAGCTAGGCACCCTTCTGCTGTATGTGGTTAGCTTTCAACAGACTGAAGCGTTTAAGAACCGTGATTGGAGGTTGCTTACCTAGCCTTTCTAGGCTGATGAACTGATTTTGAATATACTTTCGATGGAAGTGCTTTGAATACTTTAGGTTTGGTAGAACAAACTTCGAACTAAACTGTTTGGCCTGCCGTTTGCCCTTTCTAGGGCTCGCTAAAATGCTATGGTTATACCAGCTTTAAGGGGTTGGGAATGACTAGTGTTGGAGCGTTTACTGCACACACACACACACACGATTGACCTGTTTTACGACTGGCCACACCGTAGCCGACCAATGAAAACGACTTGAATTGAAGGTTTTCTCAGATGGAATTTGGCTAGTCACTCAAATTCTTATGTGAAAGAAAGCCCTGAGTGCAAAATGAAGAGGATTTCTTGTTTTCCGAGTGCCCGCTTATCAGGATATGCCCATGTATATTTTTTATGCTAATGATTTGATCTCTACTAGACTGAAGCGTTTCTTTCCAGCTACTGTCAATTCCTATGGGGGTCACTTTGTGGCGGCTACGCTTCCGTTTACTAATGATAAGGAGAACAAGGGAATGACGTCTCATCATGGTAGTATTTTATTAAATAACTGCTCATTTTGTAATTTCATTCGTACCGGTTGATTTCATTTCAGCTCTGATTGTCGTGCTATGGATGTCAGTTCACCTCCTCTGATGAGAAAGCTCCTGATCGGGCAGCTGACTGCATATCCACAGCGTATACCGGTGTTCGACGCGACGCGCCAAGTCTGGTTTCGCCGCTCCGATCAGCTGGGGGGCGACAAATCTTTGGTTTGGAGCCTTGTGTGGATCCAAGGAACCGTCCTCACTCATTCTGACCCTCAATGTTTCATGTTGGATGATGCAACTGGTCGAATCTCGGTTGACTGCCGTGGGGACACGGCGCAAGAATCTGTCGCTAGGCCGACCGATGGAGAATATGTGGCGGTGATCGGGCGATTACTGGGATCAAACGGTGATTGTCCTTTACAAATCTCGGCAAAAAGCGTAATTTCGATTTCCCGTCAACTGCCGTTTGATCCCCCTGGATCCTCTATTTCTAGCATGTCGGCATCCGAACTCTCGTGGCCGTTCGAAGTGAAAGATATGACATTTTCATTTTAGCTTGCCATTTATGTAACTGTGTTTAGAGAGGTTGCATTTATGGAGGACGTCCTGTTGTCTGTTTTGTAATTTGCGGGCATTTAAACCTCACGCATACATGACTGACTACGGCGAGTCGGCATTCTTTTCCGGATTCGCTTATCACATCGTACTGCATCCGGAGTTAGGTAATGCCTCGTGCATTTGGTACTGAGGACTCTTCGCCGTGTACCCCCTATTAATTCCAGGGAGTAATCACCTGCGATTGATCGGGGGATAAATCTAAAGCCGTCATACATAACTGACGATTCATAGTTATCAGCTTGGCTTTGTTAACATCTTGACTGGTGATGCCTCAATGATGTCTGAGTTGGTCCAGTACATCATTCTCAAGACGCACCCGGTATAGTCGAATGTGGTTTCCCGATGTCAGCCGAGAAAACAGTTTGATCTGTACCACAGAAATAACTACAAGCAGCAAGGCTGATGAAGCACTCCAGAATACCTATATTGTCATGCTGAGCATTTTTCAGACCAAAACGACCTCTTTACTGTCCGAGTATGGTCAAGGAAAGCCACTTTACATACCGTTCCAAGGACTGTGCAGGAAATATTCTGGTTTTTTTTTCTCGAATATCTGACATCCGAATAGTGGCTTCCACATCACCTGACCACCACTGGACTCTTCCGAGTATGATTTGGTCCGAATCGATCAAATTTTTCGTGGGATGTCAGCTTTTGAACACACTGCAATTGTATCATGGTGTGGAAATTTCTAAGGCTAGGCAGTAAACCATTGCTCTCCATTAAATATCCACTTCTACAAACATGTTATGAATGGCTCTGTTTTGAGTTTGACCACTTCGCATTGAAAATACTCCTTTTTGGTAGGATTTGGCGACATCATTTTGAACTTCTACGCACTTCATCGACATGGACCATTTATCATAAGTACAGGAAGGTTATTCATCCGCAAGTATAACTTCAGTTAGAGGGTTTGTTGAGGCTTCCGTTACGGAACTTTGAGTGACGTGTAGGCTCGACAATGCGGGATATCAAAAGGAAGAATCGGATTCGAAATTCTAAGGTACTATTCACGCAGATATACACAACAAACCCCAATTATCCGCATGCCTAGCTTCAACAAGCGCATAGCTCTGTCGCTGACCGGCACAAAGCAGCTTAAACGTACGCACACCAAACAACGGCGAGCGGAATGTTGGCTGAGTGGTGTGCCTTACGGTCGTCTTTTCCGACGACAGTCTCGTGATTCTATTTGGCGGTACGATCACACAGGACTCAGGAGAAAACGAGTCCGGCAAGCCTATAACACACACAGGGCGACCTCTGCGGCAAGGTGAGTGACGGGTACGGATAATACGGAACCTAAGAGGAGATCAAAAGTACACAGACGGAGTAAGCAGATGAATGAGTTAAGTATCATGAGGTCAAGTTAGGTTCAGTAGGGTTCATACTGTTACCTTACCTTAACAGACTGCCCCTTATTTTCCTTGAGACATACACATCGGTTTAAAAACTGAGTCAGGCATACGTTGGAAAGCAGTCGAAACACCGCAGGTCTTCTGGTCGGCACTGGATTAGGTGGATATTTTCCCCTCTACCAACTCATCGATCCTATTCAATCTTTCCCTTTACCATATTTTACCAGAGTGCCCACTTCGGCTAAGACGCTGGAACGATCTCTTTACGCCTGTCGGTAGCAGCATTGCTAGGCTCTTCGGGTCCAATTCTTGAGAGCTCAACATGGCAATTTATCTGTTCCCATGGCTCTTGAGTTACACTGAGCACAAAGTAAGTAAGTTACCGTAGGCAAGACAACCGCGCAGAAAATGCATTACAAGTACCTTTCCTGATTAGCCCGTTATTATGGACTTCACTGGACTTTACACTGCACATTAATCGTGAACAGCTCTTCACTTCTTGCACAATTCATCCTGATTTTCATTAATTCATTGTTGAGCATCCATAATCGTCGGTGAATGCCTCCGAACCTCAGTAAGTCATTGGTTCTGGAAGGAACGGAGGACGCAGGCTATCACTAATCACTCTGAGGTCAACAGAGTTCAAACCACAATCGTATTGTACACTCCTGCTGAGCTTGATGAATGGGGGCCGTAAACCGTTTCGAGCGGCCCACAATGTTTCCCAAGCTATCCGGCATTACCATGAACAAAGTAAATGGCAGGGATTGTACGTTCAACAGCTGATGCAGTTTCGTCTGTGTTTACATAAGGTTCATGTCGGTTTAAGCGATGCCTGCTGCCGATGAATCCGCAACGAAACAATCAGCAACCACGTTTTTGGTTGTGCAACAGGGACTTCCATCGACGGATGTGTCCAGCACCGGGATCTGTTTTGGTTGGGCCATTTATTGCACATGCCGAACAATTGTTTACCGAAGAGAGTGTTGTTTTCCGTGGCAGAAGCAGAGCGGTGGCCAACCTTTGATCTGGCAGAAGAGATATTACGAAAAGTTCTGGTGCTTCTGGTATAACTCGCCTCCCTACTACACACTGTTACAGACTCTGTACAATATGGCTCTCCCAGTCGATATCAGTGGTTTTCTAGTTGTCAGTTTCTATCTAGATTGCCAGAATGAATGTCTGGGCGTGTAGGTACCTCGAAATGATTGTGGTAGGCTGGCATCCGTTTTATTCTTTTCTTCACAATAAGGTAGTAAAAATCACTGCAGAACCCTAGTGTTATGCATTATTTGAACCCACACGATACCCATGATAAGCTTTATCGTTTGCTAGACGTTTATTATTTGGGTTTGTGGTACATTTCAAGAAAATAGTAGATGGCGCTTCAATCTTTAGGCTGGTTGTGGAATTTTATTTCATTCTCTTTCCTATTTGAAATGGGTCTCGGTAAACCATTTCAGGCCAGGCAATTTCTGTGCAGCGGCATTCGATGGAGGGAAAGGTACATAGCCAAGTGCGGTTTAACAGAATCACCTGTGCATTAAATCTTGCCGCTGTCATCCAGCGTGTGTTGAGTCAGCCACGTGGATCAAGCAGGACTAAAGGCATACCAAAGCCTTCAGGATCAGCACAAGGCTGTCGAACACATGATGCATATAGCTGGATGAAATCTAAAGATAATATATCAGTCTTGAACTTTAATACGTCTCTGGTGCTTTAAAAGCTGTTGAGAAGAAAGGTATTGGTTCCATTAGAACGCAACAGACCAGGTATTCGAGAAGATAAACTCAACTGGAAGGTCGCCACTGAGAGAGTGATGGACATACGAAAACGAACTGTGAATACTTACCGGCGAATTCGGTCTATCTCTGATAACAGACATGCAGAATGATCGATACGACGATAGTCCTGATAGTTGCCTGGATGAGCCGGTAAAACGTGGTGAAACATATGTGTAAAGCACATCGATTGTAACTCAAAGGAAATTGCAAATTGGATATTTTTAAAATCGTATTTCGTCCAATGGATCCTCCGGAAACCATGCGAGTTCGCTTTTTAGCGTCATTTGAATCAAGATTTTCGACGAGATGAGATATCTCAAAAAGTAAATTATAAGTTATAAATCAAAAATAAATTATTATAACAACGACAAAAACTCGGTTATTAAAACCGGCAAGACTAAATGATTCCGAAATCTGGTCTGCTGAATTCGATGCAGATGGGAACATTAGCTGAAGCAGCTGGTCCTATTGACGAGTGGAACTTTGACTGATACCAAATTCGAAACAGAGAAGGCGAAAGAAATCGCTAATAAAGGTTTGTCCGAGAAGCTTCGGGGCGTCGGGTATCACAGAACACACTCTGCAAATAGCACTCAACTATGTCATATAGTTCAATAGGCATCGTCAGTATTAGTATTTATCATCATCTTTCACACAGAATGAGAGAGATGACCAGATTCAACTAGGAAAAAACAGTCTTCCCTTCTTTCTGGATAACGTACTATTTCAAATATTATGAACATATGACGAAAATCTTAGTTTTTGTACTGATAAATGTGGCTTGCGGAATAACCATGGATCCGCGGACTTCCAGTCCATCCAAACTGCATATATTTGAAAAAATAAGCTGAGAATTAAGTTTATAAACTCGACGAATGAGGAAGTTTAGAAAATGAATTCCTATTCTTGGGCATTTCCTATAGACATATATGTGCTTCCCGAACTACAACAACGATAAGGATTTTCGAAAAGCGAGTTCAGAGTTTGGAGCAACTGCAGCATGTAGATAGCTTGGGGTACCGACTCTTAGAAAATCATATCACAAATGCATACAAGCTGCTTCAGTCACCTGACCAATAATGCGGAGCGGACTCTGGGACGAATTATGCATTCACTCAGCGAATCCATCACGCAAAGTTATCCATTTCATAGTCCTGTGGATCTCGGATCGATCGGTCGTTTCAAATGACACGTTTCATGTTGTGTGACATGACTGAGAAATCGAAAGCTACCTGGTGAAAAGCCCATTAAATTCGTTGACGCACACATGCAATTTTCATCACAGCTACAGCCGCAACGGGAAATGCAGAGTGGTTATTCATTAGCGATGCATTTTGTGAATGGCATCGAAAAACCCAGCATAGTGGATAACTTACTAGTTCACCTTCAGCGGCGAAACCATTCAATCTTGATGAATTCCCCGACTTCCAACACGCTATCGAATTATTTACGCAAAACCAAGATCTTTCCGGAGTATGTGTCATCGACTTCACGAGTTCTATGAAGCTGAGCCACCAAAAATGGCTTCGCTGGTGAACCCCACAAAGCAACACATCAAAGCTTTAAATGGCGCATTTGTTGCATTACGCTTCGCCGGTTTCAGCAGTGTTGGAATTCCCATATCTTGAACGTGTAACCTACCACTTCGCTACCTACTACTTGGTCGTTAGCGCTTTCCGACGTTCTCGTATGGAACACATTCACTGAAGATCACCAGAATTGGACAAAGTTCTTCTGGATATTGATTGAATTAAGAGGCGCACTTTTTGGTAATAACAATGCGAAAAGCCTTCTG